TGATGGAATCACTATGGGCGTAGCAGGGCTTCCAACCGTCATAGCTTGCGCTCTGGTTGTTGCGTTCAGGGTGAGTGCACCTGTATGTGCAGTGAATAGTGTAGGTGTCCTAGAAAATGAAGAAAATGTGGGAAATGTGACACCTAGACTCGATGTGTGAGAAGAAGGGGTTTTGACCTTGGGAGATAGGTCAATTGTATGCTCAACTGATTCAGAAGGAACCAGCGAGGGGGTTGAGTTCCGTTCTTTTGAAACAATAGCCTTTTGAGAGGCTATCGAGTGGCTGGGGGAGGGCTGTGCATGCGCAGTTGAGCCAGATGCTGCGACTTCTACCCGGGAACCGAAAAGATCGGCTCCTGTGCTTAGGGATTCAGCTCGGCTTATCTGGATAAAGGAGTCGCAACCCGCGAAGATGTGCTCGTCTGCCTTATCGAACAGGCTCTTTTTGGCTCGGGGCTGGGGCTTGGCCTTGGTAGCCTTGTCATTCTTGACCTTTGCCCTGGTCTCTCGGATGACGACTTCTTCCGAGTTGATCGATGCCTTAATGGAGTGAGCTGCCTCGTCGTAATCATCCTTGGAGCAATTAGTCTCGCTCGGATCATCTCTTGGTTTAGCCTTTTCTTTTATAGTGAAGACTTGAGGTCTGCCAGCTATGATTGGTGCTGCGTCTTCAGCAGTAATTCTTCTCTTCTTCGGAGATTCGACGGGCAGCTTCCCTTTTCTGATCAGTGCATATGTGAGCTCCACATCATCACTATCGTTGTCATCATCGTCATCATCCGAGTCAGATTTTCCGCTCTCCGTGCCCACACTCTCGGAAGCCTCGTCGTCAGTGTTTGTTTGGGCTTCACTTGACGATTCATTGGCAGTTTCCTCAGCGTCTTTTTCGGTGCCCTCAGCCGCCTGACTCGTCTCAAGAGAGTCGTCAGACTTTCCTTCATTGGGCGAACCGGCCACTGGTTTCTGTGGCTTTTGGGCTCTCTTAGGACCCTTACTCACACTAGGCTTTGTCCCTTGGGTAGGTCCAGTCGGGTTTTGCTGAACCATAGGGACGGTCTTCTCTGAGGCTTCCTTGTACTGCTGAACAGCTGGGTTTGAAGACCTTACAAGGTTGAGCAGAAACCTAGGGATCCGCAGACCGTAGGTCGGGTTCTTGTCCGCTTTAAAGTATTGCAGCTTTGGGGCTTTGTAATGTGGATCGGAGCTGCGTTTTGGGATTGTCGAATGCTCTGCCATGCAGTCGTTGATGATTAGCCCAAGCCATCTAGCGTACGGAATGGTACCTGGCCTATTCTTTTCTTTGGCCTTGACCAGGTCCATTAGCTCTGAGAAGAAGAGTTGTGCCAAGTCGTAGTGTTTGTTGAAGGCGATCCCGTGGAAGACTAGCAGTATTTGCTTGTTGCATTTGTCGAAGCCAGCATGCTTTGGCGACAAGCATTTGTTTACTAGCCCGAAGAGATTCTTCCACGGGTGACTGAGATATGCGCCGTTGAAGTTCGACAGTTGTGGCAGTAGAGACGTGTAGCCTAGTGATGCTACGTCTTTCAGTAGATCGGGGATTGACGGCAGCGCATCATATGTATCTCGGACTGGCAGCGCTAATGTGGATTGCAGTGTTGATGGCGTCAGGATCACGCGCATGCCATTCAGCTTGGTCTTTAATTTTGAGCGATCCTTCGGAGATTCTGTATGCATGTGCCCCCAGAACTGTTGTAGGTATATCTCTGGCACCGGTTTTGAGTTGTGAAGTGCAGGCCAGAGATAGTGACCCTTCATGATGGCTGGAACGATCGGGTTCTGGCATTTGAAGACTGCAAGGTCTAACTGGAAGTTATTGTCCAGCACCTTGATCCATTTGTCTTGAGAGTAGATGGCATCATCGATCTGTGCTTTTGTGTTTCCTGCCATTTTAAACTGTAGAAGCATGGGGTCAGCACATGAAGTTCAACTGTTTGATTTGATTTTGAAAGAATTTGATTTGCGTTTGTCAGATAAGTTTATGCAGATGGAGTTTTGAAAAAAAAAATTCTAAGTCCAAATCTCGAGATCTGAATCTCGAGATCATGATTTCGAGATCCAAATCTCGAGATCTTGATTTCGAGATTCAAATCTCGAGATCAAGATGTCGAGATGTAGATCTCGAGATCTTGATTTCGAGATTCAAATCTCGAGATCAAGATGTCGAGATGCAGATCTCGAGATCTTGATTTCGAGATTCAAATCTCGAGATCAAGATGTCGAGATGCAGATCTCGAGATCTTGATTTCGAGATTCAAATCTCGAGATCAAGATGTCGAGATGCCCATCTCGAGATCTTGATTTCGAGAAGTTGAACCGACGATCTTGAGATCCAATAACTCGAAATCGTGATTTCGAAGAGATTATCCACCTGCAAAAACGAAAGCAAAAGATGCAAAAAAACAATATTCAATATGATTTCGACCTGAAATTAGACTTAAACCCTTTTTCCTTTTTGATTTTGAGAGATTTCGAACGTTTTTGTGAGAACAATATTTCAATTCGATTTTAAGGATTTCGATATCGAACGATGTTGAAGGGTATAGAGATGTCCCGTTTAACTACCTTCGCCGGAGAGAAGCGGAGTGGGAAGAAAGATGAAGGTTTTTGCTCTCGTTCCGTGCCTGGTTTGCGAAATATGTGAGAATGGGAAGGGAAAGGTTTAAGGAGGGTTTATATACGCGAGAAGATTGGGCCTCTTTCGAAATAGATGAGCCCGAAGGATTGGGCTGGTACACAGTGCCCTTTTAAAAGACTTTCGAGGCCCAAACAGTAAAAAATAGAGAGCTCCCCCTTAATGAGTGAAAATTAGCCCCCCCCCCCCCCCCCTTTAAACAGTGAAAATATTCCCCCCCTCAAAAAGTGCAACGAACAATATGTACAAATGCAACACACACACTATTTTTGTTCTTTTTGATTTTTCACACACACTCAACACATGCAACACACGCACACTATTTTTGTTCTTTTTGATTTTTCACACACACTCAACACATGCAACACACGCACACTATTTTTTGTTATTTTTGATTTTCTCCCCCTCAACACATGCAACGCACACACACTTTTTACAAGTCCCACACACACACACTTTTTACAAGTCCCACACACACACACTTTTTACAAGTCCCACACACACACCCTTTTTAGATCAGTGGAGACAAAAATTAAACGGGCTCGAGGTTCAACATGCCCAACTTGGAGACCAAGAACTGGAATCTTTTTTCATCCAATGCCTTAGTGCAAAATCGTGAATCAGAGGCGCTTCAAATGGCTCACGTGCGGCGCTTTGAAGCGCCTCTAAAAAATGTGCCGCAAATCTCAATTGGATGCGCTTTTTTGACTGGAAGCGCCTCTAATATTTAAAAAAAAAATAATTTCGGAATTTTGCGGCGCTTCTTATAGAAAAAGCGCTGCACGCGTGGCCCAAACAGAGGCGCTTCTGATGATTTTTTTTATTTAGAGGCGCTTCTGACGAAAAAAGCGCCTCCAAAATGTGCTTCGTAAAATGAATTAGAGGCGCTTCTGACCTTAAAAACGCCTCCAAACTTGGCTCCGTATTCTGTTTTAGAGGCGCTTTTTTCACAAAAGCGCCTCCAAATTTTATTATTATTTTTTATATATTTTTTAAAATACTATATAACCTGTTTTATTTACAGATCCATTGTCAACCAAAAAAACACATTCATTCATTCATAAAACCAGAATAACGATAAAATTGTTTCGCACAAATACAATTCAAAAGGTACAAATTTGTATCACAATATAATAAAACTACATTCAAGTTTGACTCAGTTCTAATGTCATAACACTTCATCTACAAAAAACCTAGCCCATACTTTTCTAATGTCATCAAACTCCTCCGTTGTATATGGCTCAGTTCTTGAATTCCAAACCTGAAAGTAATCATAAAAATATAGATAAAATAAGTAATGACAAACTAAATTATACTATCGTATATAAGTTAAATGATTTAATGAAATCCACCTATTGAAGTAAATATATAATTTAAATACCTGTGCAATATCTGAACTTCCAACAGAAGTTATTATTTCCCAAATAAACTTCATCACATAATATCCACATTCTGTGTTGCCCGTTTGTCTTGCACACTATATATTAGATGACAAATATACATTATTATTTTATAATATGATCTTTTTACATAAAAGCATAACTTATGTAAATAAGAGAAGATATATGATGAAAGTACCTTCATACTATGCCATTTGATCGGCTTGCCACGACCCTTTTGTGTAGACGCAACTCTATACATCCTATAATGATAATTAAGCTCAATGTATATATATATATATGCTCAATGTTGACATACAAGTATAAATGTTAAATATAAATGTTAAATATCACAACTAAATCATTAAAAATACATACATCGTAAGATCTTTTTGAATAACAATATTGGAATAACTTGGCAATGAATTGAAAATGTAGCCCTTATCAACCTTTGGACAAATTACAAACAAAACCCAATGATACCTATATTTCCAAAGAGAATAGAAAATGGGTTAATATTTCATATGTCACGATCAATAAATATAATATGTAAAAGTGAATGTAATATATGAATCATACCCTTCATTATATGCCAAGAGAATGATATTCTTTTCAAACATTTCAGTCAGAGCATGCTTCATGTAAGTCAGTGTGCCCTTTTTATCCAATTGATAATACTTAAAAGAACAAATCCAAGGACACAAAAGACCCACATCATCACGACCAAACTCAATCAGTTTTGCATTTACACAACTACATGCATGTGAAATTATAATATTAATAATTAGTCAATAGTAATTAAGTCTAACAAATATTCAAGAGTGCTTGAAAACTTATTATAATACTTACAGCATAAAGGTCTGAATAATTGAAAGATCAACAGAATCACTCTCAAGAAATTGACTCAAGTCTTCACGGTCAACAACGGTCCCAAATTGGTTATCATCAATATAACAGAACAACTCCGCAGGAAGAGGAATAGAAAACTTACAAAGATCGGGCTCATACCACTCAAGATTTTCATGCAATCTTAAAAGATCATCTGTAAGTGAATGAAGAACAGTTTCACTGACCAATGAATGTGAGCTGGGTTCAACCGTTACTTTTGGTGAATCTCTCACGATATAGGGTACTTTTTTCTTAGCTCCATCCTTCTTTTTTGACTTAGACGGTGGTTCCTAAAATAATTATTACATAAAAATGTATGAAAGAATTTCATATCGAAATAAGCAACAAAAGTAAAAAATATGAAACAATAACTTCATTACCTCTCCCTCAAAAAAACCAAATGAGATGGCCATTGAACAAATGAACCTACAGCGTCTGCTACAACATTCATATCAGCGGCTTCATTAGGATAAAGCAATGGACAGTCTTCAAACTCTCGATATGCCATACATATGTTCACTTTGATTGTGTTTTCACACATCGGTACATTATGGATTAACGACCCAACAGGCGTGTTGTAGGCTACAGCCATGGCCACAAAGTCCAAACTCTTATCACCAGGATAAGTGTGTGACTCAACAGCAAGCCTACAAAATGCACCATCCTGCATGTATGTATGTACACATACAAATGAAAAATAAAACATTTTCTACATAAATAATTAATAAAATGTTACTTACAATGAATGTTTTTTAAGATGGGGTGCAGCAGAGTTCATAGTATCCACGTGGGCCGCCTCAAAAGTAGGCATTGAATCCCCGATAGGCACTTCACTTCTTGGAACAAAGTAATGTTGCATGTCTTTCATCAAACGCTCTTGCAACTGCTTTAGGTCAACATCACTCAAATTACCAACCTTATCTCGATGTGTGCTTCTCGACTCTCGATCAAAGACATGTGTATAACCCACACCACCACCGACGCCACGTGCACGTCCAGGGTAATCAGGCTTCCCAACAACCTCCGTCAATATATCATGTCGACCACTTGGCTTCCACGTTCCTGCTGCTACATCTTCTTGAAGTTTATCCTAGTACAGAAGCAATAGAATTTAATGTTAAAAAATAAACATGATTTAATAATATGATCATACATATACTAACTATAACTTACCAACTTCTCTTTTTTCTCGCGCATGCCCTCAGTATTACCAGGAAACACGATGTGACCATCCGCTGTTAATCCAGACCTTGCACAAAACCAAGTGACATGTCTTGGAATATCACCAGAAGTGGTTGTGCTAGAGTTCGTTGAATCTACTTCTGAACCGGTAAGAAACTGATCTAATAATCCTTGCTCTTTCCATTTCGGTATGGAAAGAACATATCCTGAACGACCCATATGATGAGGATAGATATTCTGAAGTGCAGCTTGTTTATTCTTCTCGCTCAAAGCCTATTCAATGTTTCATAAATATTAAACAACTACTTAATTAAAATATTGAAAATTTTTAATTCTATGACATACCACAAACTCAGGAGTCATAGTCTTTGCCACGAAACTATCCCACTCTTCTTTGGTAAGTTGGTCTTTATACTTCTCAAAAGCTTCCCCACAATCCTTTCCCACTTGACGAGTCTTATTTATGAAACCTGATCGCAATCGATTTCTCCAATCTCGGTGCATTTTGCCCAACTTTTTCAATAATGGTTTTTTCATATTATCCTCCACAGCATAGTCATGCTGCATGATAACATCAAAAATAAAGTGTTAGCGTATATTATATAGTGAAATGAATATAAATATTTCGGTTAATAAAATTGGAGATTTTGTAGGTACCTGTATCTCTTTAAAGATTTGATCTTTATTCGCTTTTGAAACTTTCTTCCAACTATCAATGTTTATACTCACTCGGGAACGTACCATCTTCCCCAAGAATGATTTAAACTCTTCAGCCCACTCACCGATGACAACATCGGTATCAACAAATTCAATTATTTTTCGCCCCTCGCTGTCTCTTTGACCGCCACCGCCGCCATGAGGATCTTGATTATGACCAGGCTCATCTCCGTCGTCGTCGCTCATAGTGTGTACCTGCAATTCATAAGCATGCATAATGATTAATAATAATTCAATATTAAATATAACTTAATTACAATTCAGTATTAAATTACTTAACTCAAAACAACTTACAATTCCTCACTTAGCTTTTTCCGTTAACACTTCAATGCCATCATTATGGTGTGCGATAAAGGGAAGATCATCCTCATTGTGATCATATCTTATGTTTGTTTCACGCATCCCGATGGATAATGAGGGCATTTCCTCAACATAATCATCTTCCTCATCCTCAAAATTACATGTAATCTTTTTCTTGCCGGGTAAACAAATGGACCATCGTTCATTTGAAGGATCTTTTACATAAAACACTTGTTCGGCCTGTGATGCAAGTATGAACGGATCACCACGATGTCCTGATCGGTTAAAATCTACTAATGTGACTCCAGTGTCATCACATTGCACCCCTCGACGAATGTCAACCCATTGACACTTGAAAATGGCAAAAGATCGAGCTGTGTAATTTAACTCCCAAATGTCTTCTATTTTTCCATAGTAAGACAGCCTTGCATTTAATGGATTTTGATCATTTGCACTAGCATACTCAGTCGAAGATGTTATCACAGACACACCACTATTCTGTAACACTGACTTCTCATCTTGTCTGGTAGTATAAAAAGTGTAGCCATTGATATCATATGCTTCAAAAGAATCAATTGGTCGTTTAGGACCATAGGCCAACCACTTAATATCATCATCAACATCATAGTACACATTATCAGTGTCATTGAAAATTAAATCCCTAAACCAAGATGCAAAGGTTCGGTTGTGTTCTTTAGTCAACCAGATTTCACTTTTCAAAGGAAACTGGGATCTCAAGACATTCATATGTTGTTGCACATAAGGATGAACTACTTCAAGATGATGCAATACGAGAAGATGAGCCTTTCCCAACAAATCATTATCCACATTCTTTACTTGTTTCTTCCCAAGAGTGCCCTTTCCTTCAAGTCTGTCATCATGTCTAGACTTTGGTACTCCCAAAGATTCCACATTAGTTAAATATGGCGTACAAAATTCAATGACTTCTTCATCAATTAAACCTCTGATGATGCTACCTTCCGGTCGACAACGGTTTTTTACTTTTGATTTTAAAAACCCCATGTGTCTCTCCATTCCATACATGTACCTCAAAAACACCGGTCCACACATCTTTACCTCTCTGACTAAGTGCACAACAAGATGCACCATAATGTCAAACAATGATGGCGGAAAGTACATCTCGAGTTGACATAATGTAACAACTACTTCTGATTGCAAAGCATCAAGTTTCTCTGGATGAATGACTTTCTGGCATATGGAATTGAAGAAGAAACTCAACCTCATAATGGCATGCCGAACATGATCAGGTAGAAGACCTCTTAAAGCAACAGGTAACAAGTGTTGCATCAAAACATGATAGTCGTGAGACTTCAACCCAATCAATTTCATATCTTGTAGTGATACAAGATTTCTAATATTAGACGCATACCCTGATGGCACCTTTATCCCATGTAAGCACTCACAGAAACTTTTTTTCTCAGCCTTTGATAATGTATAGCTGCCTGGTGGAAGAAAAAATCCATTCTCACGTGGTTGTGGTGCTAATTCTTTCCGAATATTCAGATGTTCAACCATGTCTTTGCGAATATTTATGCCATCTTTTGACTTTCCAGGAACATTCAAAATAGTTGAAATGATGCTGTCACACACATTCTTTTCAATATGCATGAGATCAAGACAGTGCCTTACTGATAGGTCTTTCCAATAAGGAATCTCCCAAAATATAGATTTCTTTTTCCAAAGGCTCTGCTTGTTCCGCTTATAAGGTTTTCCAAAGATTGTGTTCAAATCTTTCACCCTATCATACACATCATGACCATTTAATGGTGGACGAGCTACTTCATGCTCAGTTTTTCCGTTAAATGCCTTCTTCAATGCACGATAACGATGAGTGCGCGGAAGAAACCTTCGATGATTCAAGTAAACATTTTTTTACAGTGAGGTAATCGCAAATCAATTGTATCATCTTCACATATAGGACATGCTTTTGCACCTTTGACTGTGTAGCCTGAAAGATTGCCATATGCTGGAAAATCATTTATAGTGCAATACAACATAGCACGCATTTGAAAATAAGATTTGGTATGCATGTCATATGTTGTAACACCTTCAGTCCACAGCAGTTTGAGATCATCAATAAGCGGTGCAAGGTACACGTCAATATCATTACCCGGTTGTTTGGGTCCCGAGATAAGAAGAGACAACATGATGTATTTACGTTTCATGCACAACCATGAAGGCAAATTGTAAATAACCAATAGAACTGGCCAAGTGCTGTGTTGACTATTGAGTGTACCATATGGATTCATACCATCAGTGCATAGGCCAAGTCTCAAATTTCTGTCCTCTCTGCCGAATTCAGGATATTTCAAGTCAATTTGCCTCCATTGCGGAGAATCAGACACATGACGCAAGTACTCATCTTTTTTTCTACCCTGAGAATGCCAAACTAAATGTTTGGAATCTTTTGCATTCATGAATAACCTTTTAAATCTCGGAATAATGGGGAGATACCACAAAACTTTTGCAGGAATTTTGGAAAACTCAGTGTCACTAGCACTATTTGTACTCCTTTTTGCCTTATAGCGAGAAAGATGACATCTTGGACATTCATCAAGATTTTCGTACTCATTCCGGTACAACACACAATCATTTGGACAAGCGTGGAATTTCTCCCATTCAGCTCCCATAGGACACAGTAGCTTTCTTGCCTTGTAAGTGGTATCAGGAAGTGTATTCCCTTCGGGCAACATCTCTTGAATTAATGTCAATAACTCTGTGAAACTGACATTACTCCATCCATGTTTCGCTTTCAAATGAAATAACTTCAAAACCGCAGACAGCTTCGTAAAAGTAGAGGTAGAATTCAAAGGTATTCTGGCGGCATCAACCATACTTTCATATGATTTTGGTTTTTGTTCAAAATTATCATGTACATCCTTCAAAAACTCATCCATGTGATCATCATTGAAATCATCATCACCACTATTTTCATTATTCCAATTTAAGTTGGTGGTAGTATCGGGGGCTTTGCGCTTTAAATTACTAGCGGCGGCTCGCGGAACAACATTCTCACCATCCTGGAAAGTCTCTCCATGTAAAGTCCAAATGATGTAATTTTCTCTAAAGCCTCTCTCAAACAGATGTTGAAGTATAACATTGGTGTCACTCTCTCTTCTCAAGTTCCGGCACTTTAAACAAGGACATAAAATTCCTTTATGTCCATGTTGTTTCTGGTGTGTAACGGCAGCTTTGATGAACCCATTCGCACCAATGGAAAACTCAGACGTGTCTCGACGTCCATACATCCAAGAACGATCCATTTTGAACGAAATTCTACATTTGTCCAATAATCATATATCATATAATGTGCATATAAGCAATATCATATACTCCCTCCATAATGTTAACCAAGTAATAATGTTTTATCAGATGCAGCTGCACAAGGGGTACAACCAGATCAAATCATATGCACAGATGTTGCAATGAAGCAGGAGCATATAAGCCGCAGTTCTTTGGCGGATTTATTCCTTGACACGTATGGAATACCATGACCCCATTTTCCATTCATTTTAAAGGAGTATACCAGAAAACAAAATTATTTCTACTAGCTTCATAGTTTCTATGTGAATGAAAAGTTTCAACCAGAATACCAGAAAAAAGTTTCTATGTATACCATTCATTTTATTTTGTGAATGAAATGACCCCATTTTCCATTCATTTTAAAGGAGTATACCAGAAAACAAAATTATTTCTACTAGCTTCATAGTTTCTATGTGAATGAAAAGTTTCAACCAGAATAGCATGAAAATTATTCTACTAGCTTCATAGCTTCATAGTATGGAATACCATGACCCCATTATTTCTACTATTCATTCGGGTATAATCAAATAATTATTACTTCAATAATTACACATACTATAATCAAATAAAATACATTATATTGATAACGCTGTCAAATAAACAATTAATAAATTATAATTAACTGTGAGCCGAAGCGGTCCAAAAAAATCAAAGTACAATCAAATAAAAATGAAAAACATAATATATATGCCAAAAAAATTAACAAATAAACTCACTTTTATCAATGTAAGTATAATTCCCACTTGATTAAAAATTAAGGAATCCTAAACATGGGAACAATGGATCTCATATGTAATATACATTAATCTGAAAACATTTAAACTAAAATTTAAACTAAAATCAAATAAAAGTGAAATCAACCAAAATATACCAAAAACTTAATTAAAAAATAAACTGACCTGGGATGCGGGCCGGAGAAGTCGACGGGGAGCCGGAGAAGTCGACGGCGTGCCGGAGTAGTTGCAGGCGTGCAGCGGCGGCGAGCGAGCCTACGGCGTACGTGCGGGCGGCGGTGCGGTCGAAAGGTCGCGGGCGGCGGTGCGGCGGTGCAGGCGAAAGGTCGCGGGCGGCGGTGCGGTCGAAACGTCGCGGGCGGCGGTGCGGTCGAAAGGTCGCGAGCGGCTGCTATTTCCGTTCCCAGGTGTTTCCGTTTCCGATCCAGCTGCGGCTAGGTTAAGTTTGGACGACGACGGTACGGGGTATTTTTTTTGTTTAAAATTGGAGGCATTTCGTACAGAAAAGCGCCGCACGCAGCATTTTTTTTAAAAAAAATACGAAATTTTAGAGGCGCTTCTAGCCCAAGCGCCGCACGCGTGGCCCAATTCCATTTAAACCGGGGAACTTAGAGGCGCTTCTACCCAAGCGCCGCACGCGTGGCCCAATTCCAAAAAAAATCGGGGCAATTAGAGGCGCTTCTTTCCCTAAGCGCCGCACGAGTGGACGGATTTCAAAAAAAAAACCGGGAATAAAATCGGAGGCGCTTCCCAAAAGAAAGCGCCGCACGAGTTAAAAAAAAATTTAAAAATATTGGAGGCGCTTTTTTTCAATAAGCGCCGCACGGTTTTAAAAAATTTTAAAATAATAATTTTAACGCCAAATAGAGGCGTTTGTGCTGAAAAGCGCCTCAAACGAAGCGCCTCTATTTGACGTTTTTCCACTAGTGAGTGAACAAGTCAGCCAGTTGAAGCTCTGAGCTTACAAAATACATGTCAATGTCTCCTTTCTCCACGTGATCCTTGATGAAATGATAGCGCAGGTCGATGTGTTTGGTGCGGGAGTGATGAACCGGGTTGCTGGTGATGGCGATGGCGCTCTGTGAGTCACTGTAGATCGGGATATGGCGGAGAGTGTAACCGTAGTCCTTTAGCT